GGCTAAATTGCACAGATGTATTATCAAGTACAAAATTCATGGCCTGCAAGAATTCATTTGATGTGAAAAAGTGGTAATTTTTTGTGACCTTGTGACAGAAAGTTCTGTGTTTACTAACGTATTGGAGTAATTTACCGGAATTATTAAACCTGCTGGTGGGCGTATTAATACGGCATATATATATAATATTCAAGTCACGAGCTCGTTATCAAAGGTTTCATAGTTCAAATGAGAATATTTGATGCCTGAACGATTTAAAACTGATTTGTGCGTCATTTTAGAAATATGCCAGTCATCCAAAATATGCAAGTCCAATAACTTTCACCATTCTTTCACGTTTGGTACAAACATGGGCACCAGACCTTTGCTGACACTACATAAAAGACATACAGGTAAAGTTTATTTCATTTTATTTCTTATACAATTAATTGAATACGTCGATTTTGAATATGAAAATTGAGCAAATTACATGACAAACACAGTCAATATAAAGTCGTGATGAAACGGCATGTATCAGAACTACACTTTTTCACTGTTTGGCTTTCAGTAGGTGATGTGAACTTCCGAGAATTTACTGTTTTTCTAAAGGATATGTGACAGCCTTTTTTCGACGCAAACGAACATACGCTTTCTTCATAAAGATGTGTTGAGATCAGGGATTAAGAGTTTACAAGACGGTATATATATAGAATTGACATACTACTTGAGGGGACGTAATGTTATTGAAAGAAAATGACTGTGATACTGTTAACAATAAATATGTAAAAATTGAGTTAATAAAAGACTACTATGGTCAACCTATAAAACACAGTATTTATTTATTTATAAAATAAAGAATTGCGCACAAAGGCAGAGAATACACCGTAAAGTCAGAATTATAATATTAAACAAAATTGCGTTACACTAAACAATAAATAAACTATAAAACAATAACCCCAAACGCAACTCTTTCAAAACAAAAAGTTATATAGAAACTTCACAAAATTTATTAATGGTTATGTAATATCCTTAAAAGAAATGTCCGATTTCATACATGCGTAACAAAAACAAACTCAATAAACAGGGATAGACACAATTCTCTGATAGACTGTAACATCCAATAAATGACTTACTGTTTTCGATAACACTATCCAGTCTAATATCAGGGTTTTTATATTACCTTGACCAAGAAACCAGGATTGATAATATACAAGTCTGGAGCATGCTTTTAAAGTTAAAGTAACATTAAATTTGCACAACATATACGATGTAATGTTGTGATAAAGTGTGCTCTTACTGTCTCTGTGAGCCACTTGAGGATATACAAAACATTTCTAAACTACGTGCTTGCATAGGCTAGTTAACATATGAAGTTTACAGTTAAAATTTCATCATGATGATTATTTTTATGACCAACTTTTAATGCATCTAACAAAAGTAATTTCGTTGTCGTGTTTTATTTCTGGTAGATGGAAATGCTGTACTTATTTTCTAGCTGCATACTTCTACCAAAACGTAATTTATACAGATACAATTCGTGTACAAAATAAATACAGAGGGTTAAATTGCATTTTATGAGAACAGTATGCTTGTACTAAGACAGAAGTGCGAACCGTTGCGATATTTGGTTCAGTGCGAATTTCAGACCATTGAACGATACAATGCTGCCATGAATAGACCTTTTGTTGGGGGTAATTGACAAAACGATGGTCAAAGAATAATAATTTTATTGCGAGAGATAAAATAAATGTAAAAATTTCTAACTAAAAGGAAAGTCAAGCACGCACATGTAAAGATGAAAAACATCTAAAAAGCATCACAGCACATACAAGATAGAAACCCTAATGTCAAAGTTTGCAAACGTTGCTAAAGAAGCTTTCTCCTAGAATAACATTGCTAACATATTGCAGATATTTAAGTCAACTGTATGAGATAATTTACAAAGACATTTCCATTATTAAGAAGCACAACCCACGAATGCAAAATCTGCTCCCCAGAGAGAGAGAGAAAAAAAAACCCTGCTAAAACTGGACTATACCTTACTCGTGAGAAATGGAGAATTGATACAAATCTTGACTAGGCCTGAGTATATTGAGCCGAGGTTTAGTTTTTCAATCATGACACAAAGAACGAAAATAAAGTTCTTCAATAGGGTTTATAGTGGCTGCAGTTTTCATAAAATGGAAAACTTAAACATACATAGTAAAGCAAAGGTCAATTTGTTTCAGAAGTGTTTCGCAAAATACACAAAGAGTTATTTGCTTTGGATTGCACAGCAGTGCACCTACGAACCAGAGATAATTAAAGTGGTGTTCTTACAACACTCTCTCCGACATACCTGTGAAGTAAGCTTACTGTGTACTATGAATTTCTTGTCTTTTGTTGTTATTAAACAAGGTCTTGAAAGCTGATGTTCAGGTTGAGTGCAACTCCTTGGAAATTCTACGAAGATAAATGGTCTATAGTTGATATTGGCCCTTCTCAGAGAATCACCAAATGGTCATACATGTTTTGTGTTTATAAAATAATTTCAGATTAACACAAGAAACTCGTCAAGATATCATCTTACAACGCAGATACAATAATTATTATTTCTAAACTAATAATTACCTTTAAGGAATGACTACTACTTAGGAATGGCAATACCAGAAAATTCTGAAATGACAAAAGAAATTGGAAGTCCGTTTCTAATTATAAAAATTAATAATGTTTTTAAAGATGGAATGCATCTTAGTCTATAAGATATAAATAACTTGAGGAAAAAAATGATTGTATTTAAAATTGAACCAGTACAATTAGGCAATTTGTATTAAAAATCAAGTTCCACTTGTGACTCATGTTGAGTAACTGCAAAGCAGGGAACAAGGAAAGAGCATGACTGCACTCCACCCTGGATTATTCCAAATATTTCACCCACTGAAAACCACCCTATCGAATTCCTAAGCAAAAAACCGACCATTCAAATTATTGGTTACGATATATTATGCGTATATATACTAGTGATACGCTAAAAAGTCGCTAACATTTCCGGTATAACAATTCAAAAATTTCTAAAACAGACATTTTTTCATCTACTACCTACCTACCTATCTGATCAGTCAGTGGGGCTAGCCCCTACACGGCTCGGACTATCACTACATGATTTCTCCAGCTTACTTGACTGGTTTGTGGGTATCCGCTTTTGGTATTCCGATAAATATATACAGATTTTTTTATAAATGGTAAACATATCATGCACGTACTTAAATATCTTAATCTGTGAGTCGCGGGTTCGAATCCCTGTCACACCAAACATGCTCGCCCTTTCAGCCGTGGGGGCGTTATAATGTGAGCGAGTCGAGTGCCTTAACCACCTGGCCATGCCGGGCCCAGGGATGTGGAAGGAAAGGTTCTTTTTACCTGAACTACTTCTATAGATTAGTTCTCACAATAATTTATTTACAAGCGTCACTCTAAACTAGGCAGTTTCTGCCCATTTCATCTTTGTTTGTACATCATGAATACTCTGCCGAATTCATCTATAAAAGGTCAGGACTGGTCAACACGATCGAAGTCATAGTATAGATATACAAGAAGAGACTTACACAAATCATAGTAACAGCTGGCTCAGTTAGGAAAGACGCAATAACTGTATGGGCAGGAACCGTGTGGAGAGATGGACCTTTAGTGTTTGAACAGTCAATGGCAATAACTGGGTGATCCAGCTCATTTGAAACATACAGGATGCACTCTGTCTGGTTGAACAGTAATAGTGAAGATTTTGATAGGCTCCCTAAACTTCATCACAGGTTTTATTCGAAGAACACGGGTAAAACCTTCAAAAGACTTGAAGGCTCTTTTAATAGTGACTTATATTATAAGACACAGTGATACATCATTCAGTCAGAAACTGGACCACCTAGCTGGTAAGCCACAGGCCTTGACCAACCTGGTAAGATTTCAGGATGATGTAATCCATGAAATAGGATATAAACCGAGGAACTAAAAAGGATGAAACAAAGCTCATACTGGTCAACTGGAAGACTGGATGAAAGATTATAGAAGTATGGAAGGAAAGCGAGTGTAAATCAAATTGAATTGGGCATACTGCTAGAAGTACCTTGAGGATAAGGAGGAGGAAAGCAGGTGCCAAAATCTTCAAGCATAAAATAATAGTAGAAGTAATACCATTAAAATGATCTTATTTGTACTTGGTACCTAGTGTTACAAATAACAATTACCATAAGAAAAAGTCATAACAATAATTAATAATAATAAAATAATAATTACTAATATGTAAGAGTGTTTGCCGCCTCCCTGTGGTTGGTGTTTGGGAATTAGAGGCAGTGCAACGCTAGCTGGCATGTACACTAAAAAATGTGTTGCAAGAATAATAATTTGGTTTTATTTATGGGTAATGTTAAAAATCGGCTTGTATTTTTAAAAACTGTTTTCACATTTTTGTTTTTGTATTGTACTTACTTCCTTCTTTTATACTTGAATTAAAAGGAGTGAAGGAAAAAATGCTGTATTTTGTTGGATAGAATAAATGTAAGGATGGTGCGACAGGACTTCACAATTGGAGTGAGGAGAGCCTGTGTTTTGGTCAGTGGTAAACGCCTGTAACATGTAAATAAACATGCAGTTTGAAAATGTCAAATTGAAAACTGTTAAAACCATGTTTCACTAAGCTTACAATTTTTAATAAAAATCATGTAACTGCAGTGAATTGTGAGAGATAAAGATATATTTGAAATGCCATTTGTAGCACCTCTAATTTAGAATCCGAAATGGACAAACTAAGAGGGATGTGAGGGAAAATCTCACAGCTAACGTTATTTTTAACATAAAATTTAAGTCGTGTGGCTTCCAAGTTCCAATGCTTCACCAGCTTTAAGCATTTAAATGTGACTAAGATAAAATCAAAATAATATTACTTATTATGTTCTATAGCGCTTTATGGTTGTATATATATATATATATAACGATAGTTTGTGGACATTACATCACAACAAAACGATTGAGGAGTTAAAGATGTATAGGAGTATTATTACTATTGATATATTATTATAAACATCGAGTAGTGTATTAACGTGATTGTTTTGTTATTAATTCTAGGATAGGCTAAATCATAATCACGTATTTTACGCAAAAATTATAGTGTCGAGGTAACGGTTTGATCGGTGTATGGATACTGCGTTAGGCTTAATTTTGTATATAGTAAGGTTTAGTTACCGTAAAAACTAGTACTCGTATAGGGAAACGAGTTTAATGTAATAGTAATACGGCTGTTGCTAGATCTGACTTGAGTACTTTTTGTGTGCATTGTTATTGATAAAGTGGCTAAGACCAATAAAATTGTATAATATGTTTAAAAAAATAATATATATATATCAAATAGGTAAATTTTAACTTGAGAAACACTGCAATTGTGGAATGCGGTAGTAAACTGTTTTGTCATTAGGCCCTACTAGTACTATTAGTATTAATATTAGTACTATTATTGTCAGTATCTAAAACTACGTTCATTTACCAAGGCAGTAGCAAACTGGTGAAACTGGAAGTTAAAATTTACTTAACTTGAAGAATTTAAGTCTTAAGCCTACTTTGAGTTTGATTGATTAAGCATTCAAAATGGGTAATTCAATCAAGCCACATATTCAAACCGCAGAAAAGACTGGTGTTTGTCAGCTGGTGAAAAATGGATTAAATGATGTAAGAATTAAAAACATTTATACTTATAAGTTATAACGTATAAGGCCAAATCATTTAACTACTCCTAAATTCTTAAACAATTTTACAACCTGTAAGTTAGTACTTTTATACTAATTATAGGCAGATATCTAATTTGAAGATAGCTTGGTTAATTCATCTAAGTAATTTTTAATGTAATTAACAAAATCCTTAATTAGGAAAAAAAAAAGATGAAATTACATGTAGTTCCAAAACAATGATCATACCATTTTTTATTACATATAGTTGTCATTTTATATTTGGTTGTGAACTATGAGAGGGGAAACTCCAAATTCCAAGTACAAGTTGACATTTAAACTTTTCCTTGGGGAAAATGCCCTTACCCCCCCCCCCCCCTTCTCCTCGAAGATGCCCTCAACACACTTTTCTGAATCTTTCACTTCTTAACACTAATGATCCAACAGAAGTTAAAAATATATAAAATTTAGAGAATTATGATAGTGTTAGACAAATTATCAGGCATTTTCATAATTCTAACCCTTAAGTAATTTTACAAAAGATCAGTCTGCATCTATTTGGGTTACAGTAGTCTAGCTGGATCAATATTACATGTAGGTAAAACTTTAATGTTGTGTGTTGAGATGAACTGTAGTGTTGATTACTCAGTGTACAATACTAAACAGTTTGTCTAGTGTTTATAACTAAAATGATGTTGAAGTACTATTCAACTTTTCTTTTTCAGTTTATGCTTTTTCATATCAATCTACTGCAATTTGTGAAACCATATGAATTCTCAGTGTCATTTAGACTGGAACTTTTTAGGCTTGCTACTGAATGAACTTGAAGAAGTGATGTCATTATCACAATTAGAAAATGACCCATAATTCTATGACTGCTGCATGTACATGAGTAATGTTTCTCTTACATAATGGCTACCAATTGTTCTGAAACAGTACTTCCCTCTGTTCACAAGATTAGCTTTTCCTGTTTTGTGCTGCCCTCTGTATGCAATCTTTTTTATAACACATACCAACAGCCTTCCACACCCCCTGTTGGAATCAAAGATTCCAACATGTCACTCATGCAAATCATAATGCGTCATCTCTCCACCAATAGGAGAGCACTACTATCACATGACACCTGTGACTCCATGTGCCACTACTGAACCATCACTTCTTGTTTGGCAACCTGGTGGGTTGGGGTCCGGTGGGAGCTCGTCTGGCAACCTTTGCTCATCGGTGGAACCCTTTCATCTCTGATGTTTGGGTTCACCACATTTTGTCAGGGGGATTCATCATACCCTTTTTAACCCTTCCTCCCTTGTCCCACATGCCTGTTTCCTTTTCTCCTCCTCAGAAAGTGCAAGACCTTTTCACACAACAGGCTATCGAACCTGCTCTATGTAGCTTGCAGGAGTTTTACTCCTACCTGTTTGTAGTTCACCAACAGACTGGGGACCGTAGGCCGGTCATCGACCTCTCCCGTCTCAATCGACATGAGCACACCCCACACTTCACCATGGAATCCTACCTTATGCTTTGGTGGGCTTTTTCTCTGGGTCTTTGGATGACCAAGATGGATGTCTCCTATGCTTAGCTGCATTTTCCCATATCAGAGTGTTCTCGTCCATTTCTTCGGTTTGTCCATCGTGGGGTGTACCTATTTTGCACCCTACTCTTTGGGCTGGAATCAGCGCCATATGTTTTCTGTCAGGTGGTGTGAACCTTTGCTCTACATCTTCCTGCCCTGGGTTTGTGCTTTCACTTTTACATGGATTACTGGCTTCTTCTTGTTCATTCTGAATGGGAGTTGGCCTGTCATACTTGTCAGCTCCTTCTCGAAGCTGCTTGGGTGGGCTAGTTGATCAAACTGGAGAAGTCCTTCCTTAATCCTACCCAGTACCTCATTCATCTCGGTGTTTCCTTCAATACTCATCTCAGTTGGGCTCAACCTTCTCCTCTCCGGCTCTGTGCTATGGAACTGGCCATTCAGAATGCCCTGTCTGCTCCTCCACTTTCTGATCACTAGGTGCTATTACATTTGGGCATGTGGTCTTTTATGACTCCTCTCTTACCCCTTGGCTGGGCTCATTGTGATCCCTTCAATGAGCACTTCATGACCAATGGAACCTTGCTCGGGATCACTTGGATACTCCTATAACTCTTCCTTCCTACATTATAGACGATCTTCAGTGGTGGTTGGACAAAGTTCATACATCAGCTGTCCTCCTACATGGTCAGATTTACATCTCTTCACGGATGCATCCCTTCAAGGCTGGGGTGCGTGGGTTGATCATCAGGATGCTTTGGGTCATTGGTCTGACTGAGAACATTCTCTTCATATCAACTTCTTTGAATTTCTTGCTGTTGATCGGGCATTAGATCACTTTCTTCCCATCTCCAGAGATCATCTGGTCATGACAACTAGGTGTCTGGTACTTCCAGATTGGGACAATAACATGGTATTCCATTCCCTTAATTTACCTCCATTTGAGCCCAATGCTTCGTGCTCTTTATTTCACTTATCCCTTAAGGCAAATTTCCTTCTTCTCTTGGCTGGTGGGCATCATCGGTCAGATCTGTTTGCTGTCAACGTCACTCACACGCTGTACCACCAAACCTGTCTTCTCCTTTATTCAGATCTCTCCTTCCTTCCCAAAACCTCAGGGGCTTGCGAGGGTAACTCCTCCTTTTCACCCATATCCCTTCTCTCTATTTCTCATCTCTACCCTCGTCCTTATCTGGATAGACTTATATGCCTGGTACGTGCCCTTCATTTTTATATTGCCCACAACACTTCTTTCAGGGCTTCCAGTTTCCTTCTCTTTATTCCTCTTCCTCTCAGGATCTTTGTCCCTTTACCAGTTGGGTTCATTATTTAATCTAGTTGGCTTATTCTTTATTGTCCCCTTCCCAACTTGCTTTTTTCAATGTTACCTCCCATCAAATCCGAAACTTCACCTTTCCTCGTCTTCATTGTCATTTGGAGGAGATTTTGCAGCCCAGCATGTGGACCACCCTTCAGATGTTCATCTCCCATTACTTACATCATGTTGCACTTTCTGCTTTCTGCCTGTGGCTATATTTTAGACTTCGGTGTGACTATGACACTAGGGAAGTCTTGGTTTAATGCTTTCTTTTATTTCAGTGGCCCTGGCTTCGAATTTGATCTCTTGGATTGTGCCTGACCAGGTATTCTTTACACACACAAACAAATCCACACTGTAAACCATGTTGATTCACACACTCTTTCCATGGCTCTGCATGCTCTCTTTGAGATGGGGTGTTTCACAAGATCACTGGATGGTCAATAACCTCATGATACTTACTTCATAAATAGGCCCATGCCAGATTGTACTACCCATGGATGGCATGGGTAAAGCAGAAGGGGATAGCTGGCCATCCCTGCCATGCCTCGATTGAATAAATTGGTATGATCTGCTTTTCAAAATAGGGTTTCGTGATCATCCATTGCACTGTCTTGGGTGTAGCCATTCCTCCGGACTTTCCAATGCACTCTCCTCTCCCCCCTTTTTCCAGTGGAATATAGGAGTCCTTGCCAGTTCCAAGCCACTGCTGGATGGGTTCCACATATATGGCTATAACCATTCAGTTCAGAGTATGGCAGTGGTATTCTGCTGGGGTAGAAGGCGTAAAATCTTCCGAATTGAGTGACAGATACCACAGAGTGAGACATCTAAATGCAGTTCACCCCTTCGATTGGGTGCCCTCATCCTACCCTCAAGCAGATGTTGGTACCCCACGGGCTGATCTTGGATATTGAGTGAACCAATCAACTTTAGTACTCACACAGATTTGGGGTTGTCCATCTTCCTTCATGGGTCACGATGGGTATACGTGGGATGTTTCCATTTCTGTCATGGGCACTTCCTCATTCTCTCTACAAATGGGGTTTCATTGATCTTTGAACTATATGCTCATGGTTGCGGGAGTTGATTGGATTTACCTCGGATACTGGATGATGCATTCCAGGATCCCTTGTTGGGATCACTTTCCTGACTTATCTTCTCCCACTTGGATGTGCTCCCTTCCTTTTTCTACCATGCTTGTTCGTAGCTGTTCATGGCGAGGAGATACCTGGTTAAGAAGTGGTGCGGTGACCCTCTTCAGATTATCTGATCTGTTTCTCTCATCGACAAAAGTATCCTTCAGACAATTTCGGGGGTACATCTGTTCTTCTCTCCCACTGGTCCCTCCTCCTTTTTAATGTGGGATTCTAGCTAATCTTGTGAGCGGAGGGAAGTACTGTATTGGAAGTTATAATTTTCCTATACTGAAAATGTATTTCCGATAGGTACTTCCCTTTTCTCTCACTTCCCACCCTCCTTCCCACAATCTTCTGATGCTTATGTCATCTGCCAAACTTCAAAGTGATCGTTCGTTAGTGACACATAGAGGGAGTCCCATGTCACAGGGTAGTAATGCTCTCCTATTGGTGGAGAGACGATGCATGATGATTTGCATGAAAGACATGTTGGAATCTTTGATTCCAATGGGGGGAGGGTGGAATGCTTGTGGCATGTGTTATAAAAAAAGTTTGCATATAAAGGACAGCACAAAACGGGAAAAGCTAATCTTGTAAGAAGAGGGAAGTACCTATCGGAAATATATTTTCAGTATAGGAAAATCATAACTTTTGTGAGACTGTTGAGATGTCATGTGAAGCACTGTGAGCAATTTTGGCCCACTTTTTTTACAATATGTTGGAAACAATGTAGAGACAGGTTAGTAAAATATGTAGTTTAAGAAACTGAAGTCGCAGAGGGATATTCCCCATTTTAGACTTTTTTCATCAATAGCACAGAAGTAAAAATATTCTAATGAGCAGTCTGAGTGCTGGAATGACAAAGCTGGTAATATGTCTTGGAATATTAAACTTTGAAATGTCAGATGTCATCTTATTCTCAGCCAGTGATTTTTATGAACTTGAGCTTGTGAAATGGTTTGTAAGATGATGATGTGTGTGCATGTCTATATGCTGGTAGTTTGAACTAAAGATTTGTGTTGAATGAATTTGCGTATGTGCAGGAATATGCTTAACCTGATTCAGATGTTTTGTTTATTTGTTGACTGGACCAAATGGTCTTCCATTACTCTACACCTATTTAGGTTAAATAGATGTCTACCAAGTATTAAAGCTGTATAGATACCAATAGCAGTATGAATGTAGTTAAGTGTTGTTAGGCTATTTTAATTCATCCATTATCAGATATATATAGCTTATAAAATATTTCAGGATGGTGTCACCTTGTTAGAACTTAAAATCAATTCACATGCCATAGAGTTTTTTCTAAGTGGGCATATGATTTTCTATTGTTTACCTTCTTGTCCTGCAAATGTTTAACCAATATGAATTTTCCATATTGCACTATCTTTTTCTTCAAATTTAAAAAAATTGACATATGATAAAGCCAACTTGAGAGTAAGAAAAAAGACATACTTAGTTATTCTGAGCTGTGTGATAATTTCCCTATTCAGTTAAAAATATTCATATCTGTTGATTCATGGTTGTATGGGGCTCAAAATGCTCACAAATATGAAAACTGAGACATTTAAGCAACTGAAAGGGATCTATTGGGATACCAGGACAACATTCCAAAAAATGTTATGTCTGGTCACCATGTGAATTTTTTTTGAATTATATTATTCTGGCATTTCCTTTGGATGTTACTTATTGCATCTTCATCAGGTTCTGAAGAAATTGAATTAGCTAATAAATTTACAATTCTTGTGGGGAGAATTTGGCAGTTTTTTCTTAATTTTATTGTTTTTCAATTATTGAAATTTATTGTCTACATGTATTTATACAATACTTTAAGTGAATGAATAACATGAAATGTTTTTTTTTTTAGTAAAGAAATCTGTTTTTTTTTCTAGTTTCCCCGGGAATTATTACCACTCACACAGGTTTTGAGGACCTTAGATTTATCTGATAATAAAATTTCAACACTGCCAGGAGCAATTGGGAACTTTTCTCAACTGAAACATTTAATTATGAACAACAATAGAATAAGTAAGTTATTTAAAATTTTAATTTTTCTGATTCACCTTTCTTAAAAATCAATAATTGTTTTATTTTTAGAAATTAAAGTTTAATATGTTAGATTTGTTTTGCCTTGCTCTTAAGTAGAGTTATGACTCTTATTGTTTATTACATAAAACTAAACATCTCAAAGTTTTTAAAAGTCTTTTATTTAAGTCTGAACTTTGACGGAAAGTTAAAACTAAAGGGAAATGTATCTAATTAGTTCATGTATATACGGTACTGGAAATAATTATGGAAAGAGGCACAAAAGGGTATCACAAAAAATACTAAAGCAAATGAGTTATGCAATTCACTAGTGTTTTATTTGAGAGCCTTTTGCTTTACACAGAGCATTATACATTATTTTCATCTTTATAAATGTAAAATTGTGGAATATTGTATCAAATACCCTGTATTACTTCACAAACTTCAGCCAGATTGATTGGTCACCTTTTGACCTCAGTTTTTACATTATGCCTGTACAGCCTCACAAACATTAATATCTGGACTCTGTGTAGGCCAAGTCATGTTTGTGAGTGTTCCATCACCCTCTTTACCATCAAGATATCTTTTCATCACATTTACTATATGCTTGGGCTCACTGTCTCGCTGGAATATGAATGCTTGCCTGACGAGCTGTATTTCTGACGGAACAGCACGATGAATCAGAATCTGCTTGTACTTGTTAGTATTCATGGTACCATCAATTTTATATAGATAATCAACACTGTTGATTGAGATACAGCCTTAAACTTGTTCTATTCCTCTTCTTGTCAAAATCCCACCCTTCTTGGTGGGTCATATGGCAACCTCAGCATATTTTTAGTATTCCATTGCAAGTTAGCACAAGATTCACATTTTCAATAATAACTTATTTTTTAAAATACTGTCCTTTTGAAGCTTTTTACCTATGAAATTGTAGGCTACGGCTTTTACATTCCAGTACTAGATTCATCTGTAATGATATTGATAGGCTAGACATCTTAATTCTATCACATTGTGGTCTTGTTTTCATTAACTTTAAAATGATTGTGCTTGGTGGAAGGTTTTTTTTTTCTTCTTCTTCTTCCAGAGAAAAGGAGCTGGAGATTAGTTCTATATATGCATAATATTCTCCTGCTAACTGCAGTAGACTAAGCAGGTTAAACTAACTCTTGTTGATTGTTGCCAAACAGTTTAAGCTTAGACTTATCTATAAAGGGCACAAGTCTTCAACTTTGTTCATTTCATTGTTTTTATTTAATGCCTATTTTAACCTTTTTGTTTGCTTACCCCTTTTTTGCAGTTTTTAAGCAGTTGCACATCCATTGAGACCATTTCATATTAGTATATATGTTGTTATTCTTGGGGTAACATTTGTTGTGTATTTACAGCAAGGATACTAATAAGATCTCTACTCATTTGTCAGCTATCTTATGAAGCATGTACATTGAGATAGTGAACATTACTTTTGGAGAATTTTTGTTTTCCCATTTCAACCACTTCTGTTGTTAACAGCACCTATTTCATATACCCTCTTCAGAGTTGTGTACAGCTCCTATTGGCATATAGTCTTGCTTCATTTTTTATGATAAGTATCTTTGGGTAGCCAAAACTGATTTTTACTTATTTGTTATATAGAATTTCTTTCTTGTGAGTAATGACTGGATACACACTACTACTGGGCATAGTATGACCACTTGTACTTTTATAAGCTTTATATTGGTGCAGTTCATTTCTACACAGCAAAAGGGTGGTAATACCATAGTATTAGTTTTTTATACCTCTTTTATCCTCAACATTTCCATTATTTTTTTCATTACTTTGTCATTTGATGCTGGCATTTCATTTCCCTGATTTTAGTATTTTCAAAATACAGAGCTCTGAACTTTTGAATGATTTAGTTGTCTTTTATATTTAAAATTCTATATTACGTACAAAAATTAACGTACTGTTTTTTCATAAGTAAAACGTACTTCCCTGTAATTAAACTTACTATTTGGTTTAAGTTGTATAGAATATTTTTTATGAAAAATTTTAACTTAATGGTTTTGATGATATTGGGGAAAAAAGGTGTTATTTAATGTAACTAAAGTTCTATTTAGCATTACTTTTTCAATTCTTATTTATAACATTGCTAAAAAAATAAAGAAGAAAATGAATATATGCAGTAGGTATTATTGAACTTTATGTATGCCATTTCCTACTTCTTATTGTTCTGTCAAGTAATAATAATTTGTTTACTTTTGTCTTTTGTAGTAATTATCTTCTGGGGAAAGTTTGTGATATTCTGCATAGCATGATATAATTCTTCTTAATGCAAATGAGTGTGGTTAAAACAAATACAAATATAAAGCTGCTTCTTATAATAAATGCAGGGTAATGCATATGGGTTATCATAATTTGAATTATAAGTATTATTTTTTTAACCGTGTTATGGAAGAGAAAGATCTTGGTGTCCCTGGTTGATCAGTCCTCTTAACTCTTTCACTATGGGCTCGGTCTCGGGGACCGACCTTGTAACCATTTTGTGCTTGTTATTGTTTCCATGCTATAGCTTTTAATACAGTAAGCATATCTTCATGAAATTTTGCAGATTGTCTGTAAACATTATAAGGCTTTCATAAGCAAAATATCAACTTTTTTTTATTATTAAGTTTTAAGATTTTTTAGGTAATGTTTTTCTCATGCATTTTTTCTTATCGAATGTTGACTGTCCATTATGCAAAGTAATTTTGATTTTAAGATTAAAAATATTTTTATGGATCAGAAATTTTCAAATTTCACATGAAAAACCTTTATAACCTTCCGATAGTTATCAAAAGTTTTTTTTAGAAAAACTATATTTTATCTATTATTTTAACAATTGTATCTCTGTATGGATATGGTCAATTTGACTGACCTCATCACCACCATAAAAAATTAGGAAATGGATATAAAGTATGTTTTTTCGTTCTAGAATGACTACAAATTATAACACAAAAGCACAAACATTCATTCTAAATAGCTTAAATCTCATAACATTATACATCTATATATATATTTTTATTTTATTGACATTTCAGCCATGTCTGACTAGCATTACAGAAGTTGCAATGATGTGGCGCTTGTGCACTCGTGCTACCGTATCCAAGAACATAAAACTGGCCTTCACAAAGTGACCTGTGTTCTAGTGGACCAGTATTTTGTAAAATACAGTCATATTTCGGTTAAAATACATCATATATGTATATACATTATTACTATTTACAAACACGTTCTTAAATTTCAATTATTTTCTTAAAACATAGAACAGTAAATATAGAAGTATAGAAAACAATTATCACCTCTAGTTACAAACATTGTACTTGTTTGCTGCTTGCCGTAAGTTGCTAAGCCTTATCATATTTTGCACATGGAGGATGTAAAACAAAATAATTTCTTTTAGGTTTTATATATGCATTTTGAAATAACAAAAAATCATAAATTACTGTATCAATACTGTAGAATTCCACTATAATTTATCAAGCTTGTAACTAAGGTGTATTTGGGACTAAAAAAATATGATTTTTTGAGCTCACTAATGTCTTACCTTAACACTTGGCATATAGCATGAAAAGAAAGAGTTTCCCATGCAAATACTTCACAGAGGCTGAAAAAACCACTAGGTGGACATTCTGAGCTTTTGATAGGTTATACACTAGGTGAAGCAGGTATGCGTAAGCAAGTATTTTCAAAAAATGGAAGAGGTTGATTCAATAGATGTATTAATATCTCGGAAAATAGAAAAGATAGGAGGTTTTTATCTTAGATTCTAGCTTGTAAATGTCGGTAATTTGAGTATCTAATTCTTAAAAAACTATAGACTTTGTATTTGTACATCACAAACATCTAATTTGAACCAATGCTGCATTCAACATACCATGTGACACAAAAAAAAACGATGTGTAGGCTGTTTTTTTTCATATTGCTTTTAAATTAAGAGGTTAACTAATGTATTATACTAAAATTTGAATTATAATCTACAATTTGATACCAAACTTATTGACATACATTCATAAAATAGTAGTTCAATAAAATTTTGAATGTGAGTCTATAAATGTGATGACATGGCATTTGACCCGTGACCATAGATAGACCATTGTCAGTAGGTTAATAAACCATCCAATTAGTGTGCTGTTACTAGTGGAAGAGCAAATAGTATTTTAGGTTGCATTAAAGAAATCTTGAATACAAATGTAAAGATGTTTTAATTTTGTTGTATAAGTTACTGGTTAGGCTGTATTTGGAGTATTGTGTTCAGTCTTGGGCTCCATACTTTAGGAAGGACATTGAAGTGTTGGAAATGGTTCAGATGAGGGCTACTAAGATGATATGTGGCATGGAAGGGTTGTCATACAAGGTCAAGTTAAGATCTCTAAAATTGTTTTCTCTTGAGAAAAGAAGAGGAGTTAGAGGTTATCTGGTTGTGTATAAGATTGTTAAGGGATATGATGGTGTTGATGCATCATCTTTTTTTCATATTTGATATATGAGAATAGTAGGACTTGGGAACACATAAATTTGGTAGGGTAAGAGTGGCACTTAGCTATTATAATATAGTGTGTGTGTGTGTGTGGAGATATATATATATATATATATGTTTTAGTCTCTTTAACCCCTTCTGTATCAGTTTTTTTTGGAAATGAGGTAAAAAAAATCATTTTTTATTTTGATTTTTGATAGCCTATACTTATATTAATGAAGCAAAAATGTTTTTATGATCTGTTATTATAATTCTGTACAAAATATAGTTCATAAATACTTCAGCTTATGTATCCCACAGTGTTTACAATTAGAATTCCCCAGAGTAATAAGATTGCACTTTGAATGTGTGTGAAAATATTTATTACAGTATATGGTTTGGAGCCAATCCAGTATACATTGCAAGTGTTTGAATATTGGTCATCCTTCTGGGATGTTTGGAATTTGGCAGTATACCGTACGGACATACAAAGTTAACTGTTCACTTTATCGAGTGCCCGTATAGAGAATGAGACTAAAAACACTGCCCTTATTTGGAGTATTGAGGTACCTGTTATTGTAAGATTTATTTTGGTTACAAAAAGAAAGAAACTGAAAAGGTCTGCTTTTAATGGCATGGTGCCTGTTGTTTCGAGGTGCCCATTAATCCAATAGAGATCAGCGCAAACAGCATTTCCAATGCTATCTCGCAGCCAATTTGGTTGTAATACTTAACATACAAATAAGTCTGGGCAAGTAACTAAAATATGGTGAGAGTTAATTTGCCTGAATTATTTTGGGCAAATCACTAAAGAGGTTAAAATGAAAGAGTTGCTTAAGTTTTTGAAGAACTCTGAGATTAAATTAGTTTTATTATTTCTTTTGCAACCATGCAAGAACATTTTTATTTTGTTAAAGTCTGAAATTTCATAGTTACTATGTTTTGCATTGATTTTTGTTGTTGTTTCCAAAACTAACCTAAAATAGTTTAAAATGCCATTTTCAGTCTTTCAAGTACTAGAAGTGTTATCTATATAGGTTTTTTGCCAGAAGAATTGGGAAAACTGAAGAAACTCGAGACACTTTCTATGAACAACAATCATATACTTACATTTCCTTCATCCATTTCTGATCTAATCAATTTGAGATCAGTATATTTTAGTGGCAATTGCCTTACGGACTTTCCAGTAGTTTTCTGTAATCTTCGCCATTTAGAGCTGTTGGATCTTTCTCAGAATAAAATCTCTCAAGTTCCAGAAATAGTGAAGAATCTTCATGTAACAGAGCTAAATATCAATCAAAATCAGGTGAGATATTTTTCATAATTCACATATTTATTAAAAGCAAAATATAGTGAGATAATTGTATGTTTATGTGTGGTTAGTTATGTATGGAATTTGCTAACCAGTTAATCATCAGGATTATTAATCAATTATTCTCACATGAGACTTGGAAAGTGGAAACAAAACCAAATTGGTAATAATGGGGAAACGGTAATTTCAATTGGTTGATTATTTTTGAGTCGTGACACTAGTAGGTTAAACTGAACAACCTTTAATTAATTGAAATTAATAATGAGAAATCATAATGGCAACTTTTCTATTACTTGATTAGTTGAAATAATCAAAAATGGTAATAAATGGAAACATTAATTTTGATTAGATGATTATTTTTATATCGGCATTTGGATTTTGTCTGATAGATGGGATATCGCCAATGCATGTGGCTGTTATTATCACAGACATTATCCGTTATGGCAATAAGTTGACAACCTGGACCGATAAGAGTAATATATATATATATGTGTGTGTGTGTGTGTGTATGTGTAATATGCATGAATTTAATGGGCCCCTGCTCATCACTTATTGATACCTTTATAGTGAATGATGGTTTACTATGCTTTATTACAAAACGTTGAAATGGCAGCTCTGTATGTAGCATTGGATTTATTGTTGTCAAAAAGCTGGAGACAGACCATAAGGTTAGTTTTTTTTTATTTTTTATTAAATTAAGAAATATTCAGTATATGCAGTTGAGATAAAAAAAAACAACTAATAATGAAATATTTCACTGGTCAATTAACCAATTCTTTTAAACCACTCAAATACCCAACCCTGCTAAAACTAGTAGTCATTAAAATCTATGCCCTTATAACTAAATCCTGTTTATAGCTGGTTGATTAGTAGAATTTTTTAATTGATTGTTCGTTGGGCTCATTAATCAATTACATCCAACTGATTGATTATTTTCACATGAGACTTGGATATTAGAAATAATTGAAAATGATAATAATTAGAAACACTAATTTTAATTAGTTATTTTACATGACATTAATTTGTGTAATCGATACTCATGAATAATTCAATATATCAATTAATCTAGTTAATTGCCCAGCTCTAACCCAGTTTTAGAAACTACATTATACAATTTGCTTGTTGATTTTATTGATACATTAGAATTATGCAACAGAACAAGTGGTTTAATGTCTACCTTCTAGACATAGGGTGAAAAGCTGATCTCTTGTCAGTCCATTTCTTTTATAACCTGTAAATGGTAAACTTGCGAGTTAAATTGACCTTTGCAGCCTCAAGATGAAAGACATCATTATTTAAATAAATACTATTGTATCCAATGTTCATTATTAAAGTGCAAAAATGTTACATTATGCTTCTATTAATATGTCATTGAAATCTTACTATTGGTTTTTAAAAGGTTTCAATTAGTTTTCAGTTTTTACTTTGACAAGTTTTATGAGCTCTGCTTACTTTCTAGAATCTTGGAACATGCACACAAGTATTTCTCACTAAAGCATTCAAGAAATCAAAACCATACTCTGTTTTAAATTTGCTCAGTTTATGATTTTTATGTTAGCTAATTTTTTTCTTTCTTTACTTTTGAGGAGTGTGGGATACTGAGCAGAATATTTCTCTTGATTTGTTGATGGTCTCAGGAAAAAAAAAATGTACAAGTCCATTCCTGTGTTGGTTTGTTTGCTCTATGTGTACAATCCTACATCTTTTGGACTTTCAGATTTCTCTGTTGTCAGAAGCTATTGCTGATTGTCCCAGACTAAAAGTCCTCCGGGTAGAGGAAAACTGCCTACCATTATCTGCAGTTTCAGGAAGAATATTAACAGATTCACAGATCTCTCTACTAGCTGTTGATGGTAATCTTTTTGAAATGAAAGAATTTCATGGTCTTGAAGGTTACGAAAAAGTGAGTTTCAGTTATTAAAATGTTATGCATTAAAATATATAGATGGTTCAAAAGTGACTATACTACAGCTGCTGCTTGATTTAGGACATAGTTTAAGTATTACTCAGAAAACTATAATAATATTTAGTTTACGTTGTCTTAAGAAATATTGTCTTTGGTATCAACCATATAATACCACATGTACCAACTATATAATACAAATTGTATTGTAACTTTTTCCCCACCTTGTTTGTAATGAAACATGAGATTTCTGAATGTTATAAATTATTCATGTTGCAAATGTTTTCAAGGCATGAAAACTTAATAATAGAGCTAGGTGAGTAATGGTATTTGCTAATTTATTATCCATGAGCCAATTAATTGATTAGCGCACACACACACACACATGTACGTACGTACGTGTGCTGTTTTCATAACGTTATTTCACCACTGCATTATTTCATCATGGTGTTTTCTTCCTATTTACATTTTTTTTAAAGTAATTTTTGAATTACCCCAGATTTCATATCATAGGCCTCTTCTGAAAGTTGTCATTAGCACATTTTGCAAAAAAACTGTTTTTACCTTATTTTTACTATCACCAATAACAGTAATAATGTTTTTATTCTAAACATATCACAATTGCAATTATAAATTATTAGGTAGCCAGTTAGCCAATTTATTTAATTGTTGTTTGAATAAACATGAAAATAATATTCAAGAAAGGTTTGAGTCATCAAAATATTTTGTAGTCACCTACTATACTTACTAAACAATAAACTTAACTTATTAGATTTGATGACAATTTTATTTTATTTGGTGAACATGATGACAATTTTTGAAGCTTTAAAACAGATGTAATTTAATACACAAGTATTTTCACAATTCACAAACTAATAGAATGCAAAGAAATGTTTACAGAAATTATAAAAAAAGACAACAACCTATTAGAACTGTATATTTATTCTACTATTATGTGGTACTCTTAATACTTCCTCTATCCAGTCATATTGAAACTTTATATCTATTTTCAAGGCTGTGTTTCATTATTAAATAATCAAATCATTTGATGTAGCAAGGTTTCAACGAAAGCCTGTGCAAAAAACTAAAGAAAATGTTTGAAAATCAGGAAATTAATAATATATTCTTAAGGGGTGATAAGTTCTTAGTGTAGATAAAGTTATTCTTTGGAATGGGCAGAAAAAATCTAAAAACAATCTAGAGATATTGTTAGTGTTTAGAAAAAGCCAAAGCAGGAGAATTTACCATTGTAATGTGTATCTAGCACTAATATTGTATTAGCTTAGAAATAATCAGTTACTGGCTGAGGCCTTAACTATAGACTCCAGCTGTGTTAATTTAAGAAAACATTAAAAAAAAAGCTTTTATGGTAGTTAATAGCCTAGTCACATAAAAACACTGACATCAAATGTTTCTTTTTGATACTATATGGTATTCTAAAAATAGCTGTTTTTGTTATTTATTTCTGAAAAAAAAAAGTGTAGGGGGAGGAAGATAGATCTGTTCCTACTTATACAACATTAAATACAAGTTCCCTCCACTCCTCACAAGATTAGCCTTTCCTGTTTTGTGCTGCCCCTCTATATGCATTTTTTTTTATAATTCATGCCACAAACTTCTGCACCCCCCTATTGGAATCAAAGATTCAAACATGTCACTCATGCAAATCATCATGTGTCATCTCTCCACCAACAGGAGAGCACTACTATCCATGATGCATGAGACTCTCTCTATGAGCCACTACCATACCATCACTACTCGTTTGTCAGTGCTTGAGTTCAGGCATCTTCTTTTTGCTCATTACTTCATGGTTAGCCATGACCAGGGGTCCAACATGAAGGCTGCCATGGAAATTTTGCACGAAGAACTAAATTGGCAAAACTTACATTGTACTGCTCACTGCCTTCAACTCTGTATACTAGAAGGGTTTAAAATCAATTCCATTGACAGGCTGCTGGCTGCTGGGAAGAAGATTGTTACACACTTTCATCACAGTGTAGTGGCATCACAAGCTCTAAAACAGAAACAAGTCGACATGAACATGTCTGGTAAAAAATTAATCAACAGTTGTCTCACTCGATGGAACTCAACATATAAAATGTTAGATCGTCTGTTAAAACTCCGGTGGCCTGTAACTGCTGTTCTGTCAGATAGTCAAGTAACAAAACCCAGTGATAGATACTTGGATTTAAAATCTGAACAGTGGAAACTAGCCGAAGAATTAGTGGAGGTTTTGGAAAACTATAGTACTGCAACGACCTTTCTGAGTTATGAAGAAAATGTGTCAATGTCAGCTGTGTTTCCGATATTACATGGTATTCTTGACCAGCTAGAGCCAGACGTGTCGGGTTCTGGCATAATCAAGCAATTCAAAGATATTGTGTCATCAGAGATCTCTGAGAGATTTGAATTCAAATCTTTGCATGCTGCACACCCAATGCTGTTGACAGCTATTATTGACCCTCGATTTAAAAATTTTACCTTGGGTAGATACGCAGAAACTGAACAAGAAGCCCTAAAGAAAGGCATCATTGAGCTGATGGAGATGTATAAAGAGTATGAAGAACATGAGCCTGCTTCACACGAGCCTTCTCCATCTGTTGTAAAACGACCAAGGAGATTGACTGCATTGGACAAACTCCTAGGTGAGGAGGCAGTGGTAGCAGAACCCTCTCTCAGCTCAGAATTGGAAAAGTATCTGGCCGAACCTCCTCCATCTAGACGAGATAATCCACTTGTATGGTGGAAGTTAAATGCTGGTCGCTTCAAAGTTGTTTCATTTGTGGTTAGATGATTACTGTGCATACTAGCAACAACCACATCTTCAGAAAGAGTTTTCTCTATGGCAGGCTTAACAGTCACTAAATTACGAAGTTCTTTAAAACCAAAAAATGTTCACGCATTAATTTTTTGAACAAAAATTTAAGCAAACTGTCATTACAATAGTATTTATATTATTTATAGTGCATGTGTGTTACACTATTCAAACCTACTGTATTGTACTGTACTAACTATTTTAACTACTGCATTATACTGACTATTATTACTGGGTACTGCTGATGGAAATTTGGATGGTTTGTGACTGACAATACTATGTAATGCTACTAAATAAAAGCTTCCAGATTTCAGAAGGCCTGTAATCAAACTCTAGGAAATCTTCCTTGCTCAGACTACACAACTGCTGTCCAGTCATATTAAACTTTAACAGGTCAAATGCCTGAAGGTCAAACTGTAACAAATTAAATACATACATTGTTATAATATAACAAGTATACTCAATTGTAAGAAGCTTCGAAGCTTCGGTAGTTATCTTGCAAGAAGCTTCGAAGCACTACTTAAGATATTCGTTTTAGCCCTAAAAACAATATAAAAAAAAAACAGTACATTTACACTCTCTTTAACACTTAAGTAACCAGAGAGTTGACAATGAGCATTGACAGCTAGTTGCTTTTCACTTTAGTTAGTACCTCAAAATTAAGACATTTGCAGATATCTTTAGTAATGAGCAAGTTTAATGACAATGGAAATTGAACTCAATATCCTCGAATCATTATATTTCTTTTTGCTTAGCAAAAAATAAATATAATGGCAATATTTTAATTACTTGGATAGTTGGAATTGTCAAACATTAAATAATTGGAAACCCTAATTTTGATTAGTTGATTATTTTCATGACAATTGATTTGATCATAATTTTGATTAATTAATTGTTGGAATATTGAATACTAATTTTGATTAGTGATTAGTTTTGTTACATTAATCAATTAATTGATTAGGTTATGAAACTAATTTTTTTAATCTCTACTTATAGGTAATTGATTAATTCTCTCAGCTGTACTTAATAGTACAAACTTTTATAGTTCAGCATATAAATATATGCAATTATGGATTATATAATTTATAGCAGATTTGAGTTCTAACAATGTTTCCCCAAACTGAAGAGTCTAACATTTTACATATCTAATTCCAGTTTCGTGTTTTAATGTGTTCAAATTGAGCAGTTCATGTTGGTTGAAATTTTATATGTGCTAAAACATTGACTAGATATTTCATTGCAGGGCAGATTGGGGGGAGGTTTAGAGTGGCCCTGTGATTTGGCTGTTGGACTGGCCCTATCCTCTTTGGGAGGTCAAGACTTAGATTAAGTAACAATTGTATGCAGAGCTTAAAAATCGGAACTTTCTTTATACTAAAGTAAATAATATTTTTATTTTCAATTTCCATTAATAGTCCAGCAGGCTGGTCCTCTGTTAAAACTGTCGTACTGGCCCATTGATTGCACTAACTGCTGTTTTATTTGGTACAGGTTATGTATATATAGATGCATACATTACACAATTTCAGGTTTATCATATAGGAGTTTCACCTCTGCTTCCAGTGCTATCATCATCTAAATTGTTTTCCATTCACTCTCCATTTAATCTTTTTCTTTTTAGTGTTGAAAACTACTCAAAGATTTAGGCTTCTTATATAAAAATAATTTATCAGGATTGATATGTAAACTCTTAGTATTGATGAATTTTAGTGGTGTATGAATTGAATTTACTGAATCAATTTTATATAATCTTACAGTACATGGAGCGGTATACAGCAACCAAAAAGAAGATGTACTGATAAAAGAGATGTGTACTGGTGGCCCAAGTGCACATATGTATTAACTTTAAAGGAATATTTTCAATGTTTCCAAAACAGTATAATATTTGTTTTCTTAAGACTTAAAATTTACTGTTGTTAGCCTGTAATATTTTTATTATTGTAAACACTATATATTTGATTTCTTTGTTTTTTCCAATTTTAAAATCATTATAATTAGTCTTTTTTTTTCTTTTTTGTTACGACCCTTTGTAAAAGTAATACTAATAATTAGGAAGTAAAATCATGTAGATTCAACTTTAAATTAAAATTATTGAATACTTAAGAATTTAATTTTTAAATTGTTTAAATAGAGTTCCATTTCAGCACATTAACTGTCATCTTTCATTTTTATATATATTAATTGGTGATCCTTTTTACGTCACCTTCACACTCTTAAAATTCTTTAAGAATGATTGTTCTTTGCAGATTATTTAAAACTACTTGATATTTTATCTTCTAAATCTGGGATGTATCAATTTTAAATTTTGTGATTACTATTTATACAGAGCTTTCAGATAAAAAAATTTATGAATAAGTGCATTAATGTGGTATTCAAGTACACTGATGTCTGCCATAAAGTTACAAGTATCCACAATACAGCAGCTTCCAGAAACGTTGTGTAGAAATAAAATAAATTTTTATTCATACATTTTACACTGAGCACTGGGGACTTTTACCAGTACTGTCTAACTTCAGTACTTGTTATTATGACCTTTATGGCTGTGCTGCTGGAGCTGTAAAAAACACATTGTACAAGACAGGGATATGAGCCAGAATGATAATCCACTTTCTTTTAAGTGAACCCAAAAAAAATCCTACTATGTTATTTGACACCCCTTGATTACTTACATCAATGATCATTCCCATTATAAATATTCATTGGAGATGACATTCAATGTACACTAACTTCTACAAATCTCTGACCATGCCTTGAAATGAATACAACCTCATTTTGGAAGAATATGACTAGAAAAAAGGTCAAGTGAGTATAAGACTTGTTGAACAACCATTGTGGTACGTAACACTTGTTTAATACTTGTGGTATTTTTAGATATCACTAACTTCCTATAATAGTAACAAGATAGGTTTCCTGAATATTGGGAGATTTATCAAGATATTTACTGCAAAATAATTTTGTTTTCCCTGAGTAACTATGTTCACCAGAAATAGGCTGAACACAAGTATACAATCAGATTAAACAATCTTTATTTAAAAAACTGAAAAATGTATTTTACTTGCCATAATGGACAGTTGCCTTTAGTAGAGAGTTAGATTTGAAGTTATTCTAACTTAGTTCAGATCAGATCATAAGCAAGACTAACTTTGTTAACATTCTGTTCTAATATGAATAAATGTCATGTTACTTACTTAATTTGTTAATATCAGACTGACCCATAGTTGCTAGCACTATCCATGAGACTGGTTATTTACAATGAAAGATAAGAGAGGTTATAAGAGATCATCTGATTGCTAGTGGAAAAGACAACTGTCTAACTTCACACACTACAGAGGATCTATCAGCTATCTTTATCATGGGAACACAAAACATGCTACTTTAGGTGATGGATAATGCAGAACAGTTGGTAGCTAGAGCAACAGTAAGTTAATGATGAATGTGTTATATCGAAACTGAATATACCTGCATGACTAAATTTTGAAAAGAAGGTAGAAAACACATGGTATGCTTATATAGCACATATTAAAGGAATAGCATTAAGTTTAAAATCTTTGTATATCCAGTGTACAAGAATGTCATCTTCTGCATACAGATCACGTACGTGAAAATATGTACTTGGATATACCTACATAGAGATATATTCTTTACTAGTTATGGAATAGTGAAATCAGCAGTTCTTTCAATTGCATCATTAACATCAGTTTTCTATTTCCCATGATGATTGCATGAAAAATGTATATTGGAAAAGTTTGGATTTTTTTATATTAACTTTGTTTCTCAATATTAGCTCCTATCACTGAGAAAAGTATTAGAGATTTCTGAAGTCTTTTCTCACTGCAACTGAAATTTCCAGAAAGGTAGAACTGAATTTATTATTAAGTACTTCCATACTACTTCAATCATAACAACATGTTCAACTATAGAGATGACAATGAATGTATAACATGTACTTGCATATTTTCGACATAAGTGTCTGAAAATCCTGTTAAATTTTCTATTACAAAATTAGATGTTAATCATGTTTAGTGCTTAAAATTGTAAATTGTGGGAGTTAATTATTAAAATTAATAAGGATGTTATAGCCGTATGTACAAAACATCAACACAAATTAATTTTACACAACGCTTTGTTATTAATTAATGTGATAGTAGGTTTATGGATGATCAGGAGAAAAAAAATCTAACTTAACACAATCAAGTTTTATTGAATTTAATGAATATTATATCTAGTATAGTCTTCTTAAATATACATAATTCATTGTTGAAATTGTCAATTAAAGTTTTTTATTTATTAGTATCTTCACTTTTCAAATTCAGAATAATATTTTAACTGAAAAGTATGCATTGAAAATTACATTACTTTGTATAATAGGTAATGTTTTCTTGGACTTAACTATGAAATAATCATTAAATTGAAATATATATTGTGCTATATGTTTATCTGTATGGTGTTTACTGATAAACTCTAAGAAATAGACATTTTAATTAAAATAAATTTATTATATGTTTTCATTTTTGCTTTAAATTGTGGAGTTCACCAGTTTAAGAGTTGTACGTACACAAGCGTGAGGGTAGTTTTCTTTTTTTTTAAATTGAAATTGTTCATATTTAGTTGAGTATGTCTTAATCTATTGCATAAAAATATAAAGAGTGGACTAGATGGAAAAGAAAACTAATTTTTTTAAATTATTAAATAGTAATGTGTTAGCACATTGTTTTTCAGATGTTCTGTAAAATATTAGATTTCACACCATGGCCTTTTTTAAACAGTCCTCACAAGTACAATAAATGTGGTTGTTCAACTTATATAGAAATTATTGTGGAGCTTTAATTTTCTTATCTGTCAGTATTTATAGATGCAAAACTTGTGTAATGAAATTATGATTACAGATCTGGTTAATATTTATGTATTTCATATGACAAAAAATTTAGGCTCAGCATTATGATTGTAAAAAATCTTAATAAATAGCTATAATGGAAAGAAAACTTTGGACATGTATGTGGTATCCACACAAATTAGCTGTGATATATCTTAACACATTATATACTTTTCACTAATTTCTGAAGAACTGATGCTTTAAGCACCTTAAAAATGATAACCTCATCATATATATGTGTATATATAGTTTTTAGTTCCTGTAATGTAATTGTTAAAAGCACGTGATTCAAAATAAATAATTAGATATGTATATCTTTTGTACAAGTGCTATAAAGTTATAGAACTTTTCAAATTCTTCTATCTACTGTGAAATAATACTATGTAAGATATTCGTGTGACAAATGAAGATTTAATTATTTTGGAGTTCAGTTGATCCACATAAATGCTGTTCAGTTGCTTACATTTGTTACAAATTTACAAATTCTGTTGTGTGCTAATGTTTTTTTTGCTGACATTCCACATACATTACAGTATGAATCTTTACTGTATTGTAATTGTATATGTATTTTTAGAAAGTGTAAATTTGGTCCACTACTTGTAAAAAGAAAAAAAGAGTTGATTGGCCTCTTTTTTTTTTTCTCATGACACTCAAATTATCTAGTTCCCCAGTAGGTTTGCAGATATGCAACACTAAAATTTGATTCCCTGTGGTAGACAAAGTGCAGATAGACCATTGTGTAATTTTATGCTAAAAAACAATCAAATTACCTACAGTGGTTTCCTTATTTTAGCATTTACAAAAATAAATAATTTAGAAGTTATTTAAAGTACCATTTGATTTAGAAATGAATACTGGATTATATAACAAATTTTAATTTTACAATGATGATTAATAGCCGAGGAATTTTTGAATCCAACTTAAAGAAATTATTTTAGAGCTGAAAATATCAGTCCTGGTAGTTTTATTTGCAGAATAACATATCAAAAGTTCCATTTCTGCTTCATAAATTTCTTGGATAAACTGCCACTTTCTATAACTTGTCACCTGTTGCTTGTAGTTTCATACAATTTTCATAGAAGCTTCCAGAAATTTACCCAATAAAATTATCCATCAACAGCTAACCATTTTTGCACAATAATTTAATTTCCATGCAAAGAATTCTGAAAGTTCCACTTTTTTGCATATTTTATACATAAATTTTCTATTACTTGCAATTCATAGCATTTTAATGGCAACAGATGGGAAAATTTTCCCAATAAAAGTATTAGATCATCATCCGAGCTATTGATTTGATATAAAACCTTTGAATCTAGTGCCTACGAGAATGGAGATATTGAGCCTTCATTGCAGCTTTCTCAAATGCAGAACTCTTGGGTCAGCATTAAAGAAATATGCATTTGAAGACAACTTAAAATCTTTAACAGTCATAAATATTCATTCAGGTATACTTTTTAAAACTAACTTGCGATTAAAACACTCTTTGCATTAGATATTAAGTATGAAATAGCAAGCTGTAGTGAATGATAAAGTATACAGTATTATTATACATACACTAAAAAAATGTATGACAGCACAATCTAACAATTACAGCATTAAACCGGAAATAATGAAAGATTACTGGTGTATTAACTGTACATAATAATCTATGAATTGTGAACTTCAGTAGTCATCGTCTTCAGACTTCTCGCACAGAAATAAGTTGCTGCAGGTGTTTCCTCTAACACCTGTGAATGCCTGCCTTCACATCCCACATGATAGATACTTTTGCAGTTGTAGGATATTAAATGCAATAGCTTATCTGGAGCCAGCTTGAAGGTTTTAGAAACTAGAATGAGGCTACAGTTGCTGAATTGCCATCCCCAGTCAGTTAGCAGCAAGTTATTTTGCAACCATTCCTGTACTTGCAAGTATGGTCTAAAAGGCATGCTGACTGGTGGCAAGATAGCTAAACTGGAGGATGCTGTGAGTAGTTGTTTCATGATTATGTAGCAAGTAAGGAAGTTTAGAGTGCTTCACCATATAGAATATGAATAAAAAGTTCTCCAGCCAAAGTCAGTTCTTTCAGA